GTGGTAACATCACGAACTACTGACAGGAAGTACAGATGGTGGGGGAAGCAAGCCTCATAGAAAAGATAGATCAGAAGGTGACCGGTCAGCGAGTGAAGAGGACATAGGTTAAGGAGAAGGTAGCCAGCCGGGCAACCAACCAGGATCTGTGAGAAGATGTTGGTCCGCAAGTAGTGAGTGTCAACAGTAGAAGGTTGTAGAAGAGAAGTAGCTACACCGCAGGGTAAGTGAAGAAATATAAATGGACAGATTGAACGCGCACCAAGAATAGGCCCCGACAAATAGAATGGAAATTTATTAATAAGTGTAATAAAATTATGTATGCTTTTATATTATATAAATGAGGAAGTATGTCTAAACCCAGACTGGGAATTTACATATGTGTGAGAAATAAATGTTATATTGAAAAAGAAACTGGTTGTTTAATTTTGGAGGGAACGAGAACATTACAATATATTTTACTGGAAAGTTTCTTACACCCATTTTATTTTTCATTATGGTTTCGTCATAGATACACCATTAAGGTGTATACACCACTTGCTTGGAGTGGGTGAATAGATATATTGTCGATTACTGAATTCTGGCACTTAAAAATAATTTGCGAGATCAGGCATTTTTTCAAGCAACAAAATCAGAGACCCAAAATACTTTATATGATCATTTTCAGAAATAATTTTTTAGTTTGAAATTTGTTTATATTTAACTAATACATATATTTTCGTTACAGTTTGCAATTTTTCCATCAATTTAAATTTAACCTTTGATAATGTGAACATTTTGATAATTCAAACACTCAACATGTTAAGATTATCAAGATCATCTTTTACTTAATATTATGTAAATAATTATTTGACCATTTTGAATTCATAACATTGTTGTTTTTGTTTCCAGAGTTCTAATCCAACATTTTTGCCTTTGTAGCAAAAGGATGATGTATATGTCTTGGGTCTGAACAAAACAAAGCAACCTGATATTCAATACAATGGATAATTCTGTTTCCACCAGCAAGCATGAAGAAGAAAAACAGTTTTTTGAAGAAGATGAAAGGGGCATCCCAGTCCTATTCAACATCAAGAATCCTGTTGAGTCATTTACAGGAAGAGCCAAAGAACTGGACATTTTACACAAATTGCTTAAAGAACCTACTGGTAAAACCAAAGCCGTTTGTATATCTGGTATTGGAGGGGTGGGGAAGAGTGAAGTGGCCAGAAAGTATATTAGTGAATTCAGAATGGAGTACAATAATTATATTTTGTGGTTTAATGCAGAATCATACAAAGCATTAGAGGCTTGTTTCCGCTCACTAGCGAGAGAGAAACTTGGTATAGCTACAAGGAATCCCAATGGAGATGAAAAGGGATTAATGTCTATAATTGTAGAGGTATATAGAGCCTTGCCAAACAAAAGATGTCTTATGATCTTTGATAATGCCCAACATTACCAAAGTAATAATGAATTTGATGAAGGTATTGATAGATTTTTACCTCCATTTTCTGATGATTCTACACCATATATTCTCATCACATCTCGTAACAAAAATTGGCCCTCAACCATCCATGTTCTATCGCTTGATATGTTTGAAAAAGATGAAGCTCTGCAGTTCATTTCTAAAGTTCTCAAAACAAATATCGATGAAAGTTCAGCTTTAGCAGATCGGGTGAATTGTTATCCTCTAGCATTACAGCAAGCAGTTTCATACATCAAAGTTCAAAATATGAAATTACAAAACATAGGTTCACATTTTAATATCACACATTACCTCGAACACCTTAAAGATAATAGCAAGGATGTTCTTAACTTTTCATTTCCTAACGGCAGCGATATTGAGTACACCAAAACTGTTTATGTTACTTGGAATGCTACCTTGGATTTTATAAGAACGTCTAAAAATGGCATTTTAGCATTTAAAATAATGAATATCTTGTCATTTATGGCCCCAGATGATATACCTATGGATTTATTTTTAAATTTGATCAATGACTATGACATTTTATCATCTGCATTGGATATATTAAAACAGTATTCAATGATTACCATTCATAAAAAATGTATATCTTTAAAAGAGGATGTGGTATTGATCAGTTTGCATAGACTCGTCCAGGAAGTAATTAGATTAAAGTTGATGGAAGAAAATAATAATAAGTCTGTTCTTGAAGAAGCCTTAATGATTTTTACACAAAGAGAAAATGTGAATAGTAAAACTTTAAGTCATGCCATATCTGTATGGAATTATTCTTGTAAGCCTGGAGTCCTTTCATACACTAAAATAATATATTGTGTTTTGGTTTCTACTCACATCAGTTCGGAGCTTTTAGTAAACCATCAATATACCGAAACAGATTCTTTTGTAAAAAAGGCTATGGAATTCTGTCTTTTATTTCTAATGGATAATAGGATGATTCTAGGTTTTTTGTTGATTTTAAGAATCATTCAAGCAGTGACTTTAGTAGCATTAGGTGATTATAACAATGCAATAAAAAATTTTCAGGAAGTTTTGTTGTCCAGTGAATGTTTTTATGGTAACAGTAATCCAATGCAGTTCAGTATCAAACACGACTTGGCCAAGATCTTCATAATACAAGGTAAATACAATAAAGCAATAAAACTCACAACTGAATTATGTGAGAATGATCCTTTGTCTTTTGATTATAAAATAACACATGCCCAGGTGCTCAAAATTCAAGGAAAATTTGATGAAGCATTAGATATACTGAAAGAAGCAGAAAAGTATGTATCCCAAATGGACAGTACAGATTCCATAGAATTATTAGTACATTTACTACTTAAAGGTAATCTTGGAGATTCATTGCACCTTAATCAATCATTAGATTACAGCAAGGAGAGTGCCTCAAGAAAAAACCGTATTAATTTGAAGAAAAAACAGTTAATGGCACAGATATTCGAAAATCAGAATAAATATCCTGAAACATTGAAAGTGGCTAAAGAAATGTTAAAAATAGGAATAGAAGTTTTTGGTGAAAATCATCCTGAAACATTACGGTATCAGTTCTCTATAGCTGAACTTCTCAGGAATCAATTTAAGTTTGATAAAGCTCTTGAACTGTTTGAGGAAATTTATAAGAAACAAGAAACTTTATTAGGAAAAGATCACCCTGATACCTTAGATAGCCTGTTTGGTATTGCAATTACTCTTGAAAATCAAGGGAAGTTAAACGATTCCTTAAGGATCTATCAGGAAGTGCTGAAGAAGAGGACCACTAAGCTTGGAAAGGATAATCCTTTTTCTATACAAGTATGTATTAATATTGCTGATCTATATAGTAGAATGAAAGATCACGATAAAGCACTTGAAAAGTATAATGAAGTTCTAAACATAAAAGAAAAAAAATTAGGCGAGGATCATCCACATTGTTTACTTATAAAGTATAGAATAGCTAAGACACTTTATTTAAAAAATAAATTTAATGAATCTCTGAAAATGTTTCGTGAATTACTGAGAAAAGTGGATGTCATCCTAGGAAAAGATCATTCAATGTCATTGATTGTGAGAAATGAGATTTTAACATTGTTGACACGTCAAAATAAACTTGATGAAGCTTTTCGAGAATGCAAAGCAGCTATGGAAATTCAAAAGCTCTGTACCAAAAATAATGAAAAAATCACTTTAGATACCAAAATAATCTTTGCTAACATTTTAGCTGGTCAAAAAAAAGATGAAGAAGTTTTGAAGCTTTTGACTGAAATACTAGAAATATATATTTTAAACGAACTTCCTCTTGACGTAGCTAAGATAAAACATGAAATTGCAAAAACTCTTATGAGACTTAATAAACATCAAAGAGCCATTAAATTTGCCCAAGAATCGTTTCTATCTTTTAAATCTCATTTAGGAACGGATGATCCTAAAACTGTTGAGCTACATAGTGTTTTACAATACCTGTTATCAGTTGAAAAACTGTTTACAGCTGTTAAACAAAACAAAAGTACTGAATTTATTAAAGAATTAGTCACTTCTGGTTGTGATTTTAAAACCCAGGATGATGAAGGTAGAACTTTATTACATCATGCCATTAACCGATGCAATATTGAGACTGTTCGCTATTTTCTATCTATTGGAGTGGATTTTACTCAGGTAACTGAAAAAGGAAACTCCTGTCTACATATTGCAGTGCTTAAAGGAAAAAAGGATACAGTCAAAGTCCTTCTGGAACATTTATCTCATTCTAGGTCTGAGGAATTGATGGATATCCAGACGGTTATCGGAGGAATGACAGCACTCCACGTGGCTGCTAAAAATAACAAACTTGGCATAGTCAAGGATTTGCTCAAGTATGGTGCCAAGTATAATATTCTTAATAATGATAACAAAAGACCCATCGATCTTACAGAAGATAGAGAAGTGAAATCAATTCTCCAATTAGTCGATGTGAATTTTAATCTCATCGGTTATGGTGGTGTAAACATAGATCAATTGAAATCATTGAAGGAGGAAGATTTGATGGCAGTGATGAATGCTCGTAATGAAAATGGAAAAACTTTGTTACAAGTTGCTATGAACAAGATGGACCATGTAGCTATTGAAAGATTATCAGATATTCTTCAGAAAATGAAATTTAATTGAGATTAAATGACAAATGTGTTTAAGATTAAAAAATATACATATTTTTTGCATTAATAATATTTGAGAGATATGTTATGCTATTTTCAAGGATTGCATTAATCCGAAGGAAACCAATTTTAAGTTAATTCAAAACATGTGTTATGTATGTTTAAATATGAAACAGTTCCTTTCTGTATTTTCCATCACATGTTTTCTATGTTTATGTTTCAATAAATAACAGATACTACATCAATGTTTTTTTTTACATTTTTTCATTTTTTATATTCTAAAATAGATTGATGATAGTGCATAATTTTCTTTGCAGGGGAAGATTCCGCCATGATTATTGAAATTAAAAATTAAATAAAGTTAAAAGAAAAAAAAATTCTAATAAGAAAAATATTCTAGAAATAAAAGAAATTTGAAGTTATCGCTTGTGATGCTCAATCCCCTGGAGCAGAAAAACCACATGTCTTCACTGGACCAAGTATAAACTACAAACTGTATTTCATTAAATTAATAAAAATATGCAATTATCTTCAAATATGCAAAATAAAATTTGGCTAATTATATCACATTTTACTAAGTCATATAGATATTCGATCAGGTTTAAAAAAGAAACAATCGCAAACAAAATATGTTTTTGCATAAACAATCAGCGCCCTGCTTATAGTCCAAGAGCTTGTGAGGAAAAATCGACATTATTTGATGAAAACTTTAATGGCATTTTTAAAATATTAATAACATTTATATTTTTAAAAATCTGGTGCAGTGCGCGCTCTACACAACTTTCACTTACCACTGTCTTTGCGCAGAAATAAGTATTTTCAGACAAAGGAGAAGAGGCAGTAAAAATAATAGACGTTATATTTATTTATATTTCATTGTGGATATTTTTATTTGTATAAGTATCCTTTTACATACAAATTTTAATATTTATATTGTTGCAATCTACAGAATTAAATATTAATACCAACTAAAATAGCATTTATGAAAACAGCATATGTATATTTACATAATATCGTCGGATTCCTTATTATATTAAGCTCGTGTTACGTATGGAAGCCTGTTCTAATCTTTCGGACGCTCGTATTCCTTTGGTTCCTCAATTACAACTATTCTCTGTTACGACCTCTTATTTCTCCTTTAGTTAATCATCAAATTCTTTCATATTTTATATTTAACTATCTTTTATACTAGAAATTAATGTGGAATGGTCAATTGTTTCAAGAAAAAAAAATAAAGGTAATTCAGGGGAAGCTAATATTGAATATTAGTCATTTAATCTCTGTTTGAGAACATCAACCAGAATAAAACCTACATTTTATTTAAAACTGCTTATGTTTACACTGATATAATGAATTTAAATAAGAATCGTTAGAGCCGTTTTCGAGAAAATCGTAAAAATGTCCATGATATAAAGTGCCACTTCCTTAAGTGATTTTGACGAAAAAGTTGCTGTAACATCTCAAGTATATAAAAACTTTAAATATCCAATTTCACTTTCGTACAACTTTTTTTTTTATTGTATTTCCGTTGAAAACTCAGATTCGAAAATTTTCACGATAGCAATACTTTCTCTTATTATATATTACATGTATAGGTAAGTGAAAATAAAAATGAGAGTCTGCCAGTCGTATCTTGCTACTTTTTAAAATGGCGGCTGATTTAATGAATATTAGACCAGTAAGTTAGTAAGGATCGAAACAGAAAATTCATTGCGAAAGATTTGGGAAAAGTTTTTATTTTTTAACTTCTAACTTTATTGTAATATATTCAAGTTTATTGTAGTATATACAAAAATCCTATGTGTTCAGACGTATTGAAAACAAAATTGCTAACGCAGGCTACCAAAGGAAAACTTTTTACAGCGAAAAAAGTTATATATTTTTGTTTTCACCTATAACTCCTAAATTGTGCACCGAAGCGAAAAACGTACTTTTTAAGAAATTGAAGAAAGTTAAATTGTGCTTAGAATGAGTACCGAAACGTAATAATTTGGTTGAGTGGTATGGTCGATAACCACGGTCAACTAACGCTGATTTTACCAACAGATAAAAATTACTATAAATGGCGCTGTAGCTTGGAAATGAGTTCTTTAATAGAAAAAACTCATAGAATAAAAGTTGTAGAGTATCAAATTCCGATCAACGTTCTATCAAAGATTATTCCAAGGTTTTTGATGGTGTATAAAAGAATAGTTACTGCATTTTTTGCATATTTAGCTGCATATTTCTGTTTTTTTAAAATACATATTCCATATTTTGCACTTTTTCTTCGTTTGCTTGTAAAAACTGCCGGCCCGGATATCTATCCGTTTCAGGACCTGTAGAGTAACATTTAAATTTTATATTGCACGAAATTGGACATTTTGCCGTTTTTGGCTTAAATTGCACATTTTTGCAATTTTGTGCTGAATTAGGCGATTTATAAATGTAAGTGTATAAATGAGTGTGTTAATATGTATTTTACTTTTTGTTTTACTATATTATTTAAATTAAATTCATTATTCAAAATAGAAAAATATGAGGAAGGCAAATAATAGTATTCATTCCAAAAGGAAGAAGTAATATAGAATGATATAGAACTTGCATAAAGTATTGGATAATAAAAGCTGCTTTGTTAGTAAGGCATTTATAGTTATTGTTTTGACTTGAATTATCACTCACCTTTCAACCCTTCAGTATCTCTTCAACCTTTTTTATTTATTTATATGATATTTTCAACTGTATACAAAAAATACATCTGGTAAATTCGCACATGGATATAATGACATGAAACACATGTTGAGGAACTACCCATTGGTAGCACTCTAATAATATGTCTATATTAGGACATCACGTGGCCATCTTCTTTTCAGACGCCTCGGAGGGTTATCAGGAATTGAATAGAAAGCAAGGTTAGAAACGAGAGGATTGGGATGATTTTGAAGTTTATTATGGAAGGACAGATATCTGGATTGGGACAAATCTGATACATAAGGAACATTAAGGTCATTATGGATGATTTTATTTGTAACAAAGTAAGGAGCATTGAGGATTTTACGACGGATTTTGGATTGTAAAGATTGGATGCGAGAGGAATTTGAAGGTTTGGTGGAGCCCCATAGCTCATCTTCTGGCTTTGAATTGATTTGTAGAAATTTCATTCCTATAACAAAAAAAAACGTCTGCCAAGTAAGGTCAGCATAGCTTCCTCACCGTTTTCATTGGCTAAAATATTAAAATGTTACAAGGTATACAATTTTTCGTATGAGAATAAAATCTGGTAGAAGCCGATTCGGAAATACAGTTACCCTTCAACATTAGCGGGTTTTATATCAACGAATTTCGTTTATCAGGTAATATTAAAATGCCAAAGAGTGCCGTATTTGAAGATTCCATATTTGATTATTCTTAATTTTAAAGAAAAATTCCAATGCATACTGAACATGCATTTCACCACATAGTGCAAAAGGTGGTATGTAAAAATTGATTGTTTTGCAAGAATGCCTAAAACTCATTATTAATTTATTCTTTATTGGTATAATTTCATATTTTATTGTCATTTATTATTTTCCATAGTTTCAGACTAGTTATGTCAGTTGCAGACTACAATATGTCACTTTTAGCACAAATAGAATAATAGTTGAAAATTTTTACATACAACCTGTTTGCACTAATAGTAGTGATATATACTTAAATAGGTATGTTTTCACTCGTAAATTGGAAGAGAGAGAAAATCCATCGGAAAAATTCAACTTCTTGTTTGTTCGGAGTTAATACTTACCAATACTTTCATTCTGTTATAACAAAACGCTTTAAGCTAGAAAATATAAAATATGGGTGAAGTTCACATAACTTCGATATTTAAGGAGGAATAGAGACAGACTTCAAAGGTACGTAAAAGATTAACTTCAAAGGAAATAAAAACAATCACAAATATGACGTATTTTTTTCAACAAACTAAGAGTATAAATTACTTTAAATGAATTTGAAAATTAACAATGGAAATTAAGTAACGGTAGTTTTTGCAGTAACCAGTATCGTTGGAATCGGACCAAACAATACAGTATCAATTAATTTTTTAAATAAAACTAATTTTTATAACCCCATAACAATATTGTATTGACCTAACTCACACTACATATGTTCCGTGCCTGCAAACATTTCGCAGGCTTTATATTGTTAACAATTATTTATATTAATTTTGATTTTTTATGGAATTCAATCGAAATTTATAATAAGTATTTCTATACTGTTCTCTAAATTTCCTCCAAGTTTGGGTGACTCGAATGCGCCGTTTCAAACTATGGCTATCAAATAACACATTTCCTGAAGCGGAAGATTTTTTTTTTGGGAGTAGTAGATAGAATTTGATAAAATTGATGCTATTTCATTATACCGTTTGCCATTCCCTAAATTTCCCTAAAATTTTGAGCCATAATAGAACTTGCGGTTTTTACAGATATAGAGTCTAATTGCTTTCGAAAACGCGAATTGGAAATATTAAGAGAAAGATAGGGATAGAATACGAAAAATTGCTCTCATTATTTTTTCCAATAAATACCCTTTTATCAATTGTCGAGCCAATCGACCGAGCCATTTCTGAAGTTTTGGCTTATCTTCAAAAAAGCGTTCTTCGCATGCGTAAGGGAAGTGCTGATTTGAATTTAATGAATGGATATGGGACATCTAGCACCAATGCATTATCCTGAAAAATTCATGAAAATGGATGAACGATCATGTGATATGCCCTCACATGATTTGACTTACAGTACAGACAGACACCCCAAACCAATTAGATCCTTGATGTCTGAAAACGTAAATCGCGGTGGAAATTCTGAGACAAAAATTTCTTTATCACTCGCACGAATAAATCTTAGCCTTCGTGTAGTGAGGAAGAAAAAAAAAAATTGTTATGCTGAAAGTAAAAATCTACTCTCCCGGTCAAAATTAAAATTGGATAAAAATACGTATTCCCCAAAACAAATTTTTTTTTTGGTGATATAGAAAAACTGCTTTAACATAATATTTGAACACTTGAAAATCTCAAATATTATAGTCTAGTTCGAATTTTTTAAAAAAATCTTTAAAGTTAAAAAAAAAAACATTTTGTAATGTATAATATTGGAAATTTCAACTCTATTAAAAAATAAAGTTTTCATTATTATTACTTTCACTTACGTATATAGTATGGGTAAGTATTGCGATCAAGAAAATTTTGTTTGGTAAATATAACCATGTTTTATGACAAACAATTATAAAAAAGTACCTTATAAAGTGTGATTGTTCGTGCAATTACGTTTAAATACCATTTCATATAGGTAGTAGTTTCTTTCTTTTCTTTTTTTTCAAAATATAAAAAGCGTTCGGTTGAAGCTCCCCAAAATTAAATCCTGGATCCGTAGTCTAGTGAATGTATCGAAGAAACTCATTTCATAAACATAAGAGGGCCACTCTTATATTATTTGACCATTTAGCATTTCTGGATCTAGCAATTTCGGTT